GTATTTTTAGTAGAGACGGGGTTTCACCATGTTGACCAGGATGGTCTTGATCTCTTGACCTAGTGATCCACCCGCCTCGGCCTCCCAAAGTGCTGGGATTACAGGCTTGAGCCACCGCACCCGGCCTCGATTACGTATTCTTAGAAACAGCAGTTTAGTAACATTAATCCAGTAAGACTACTAGTGACACTAGCAACACTTTGAAAGAAGCCTCAATAATTAAATTTTCTAAAGACAAACGGGATAATCAAAAGTAATACCTTTCTAAAAATTCTAATACCATAGAGCAGAAAACCTCATTCGAGGGGACTTTACACGTCCCCCTCTCATTCCCTCAAAACCCTGGGACCTTGACTGAGGTCTTACTTTAAATGGACTGCCTGTTTTCAAAAAAGAGATCCAAATTTATAGAATTTTCTACTTGTGCATTTATAATACACATTGGGTTACATTTAAAGTATCTACAGGTATTGATCGACTTACCACCTATGCAACTTACAACCATTTGACTTTACGACCACAATCGCTAGCCACGACTGCCCCGCGTCTGGCAGCGCAAACGTTGCCCAGCTGGGCGTACGACAGTGCGGACCAGCTTCCGGCAGCACTACCATCTCCGTGTGCACCATTTCAACTGTACATATAGCCTACTCAATTTACAACCAAATCGTGTTACGACCGGTCCGCGGTCCCGACCGTGGTCCTAAGTCGAGCACTAGCTGTATTATTTTTTTTTTCTGTTTTTTTTCTGTTTTTTTTTTTTTTTTAGATGGAGTTTCACTCTTGTTGCCCAGGCTGGAGTGCAATGGCGTGATCTCGGCTCACTACAACCACCACCTCCTGAGTTCAAGCAATTCTCCTGCCTCAGCCTCCCAGATAGCTGGGGTTACAGGCGCCTGCCACCATGCCAGGCTAATTTTTTAGTAGAGATGGAGTTTCACCATGTTGGCCAGGCTGGTATTGAACTCCTGACCTCAGATGATCCACCCGCCCCGGGCTCCCAAAGTGCTGGGCTTACACGTGTGAGCCACTGTGCTGGGCCTAAGGTATCTATTGAGTAAAGCAAAGTGAGCCTAGTTACATAAAAAAAAGACTGTTCACTTTCATCTGCAAAATGGCAGCCAAAAAGTACAGTAAGGAAGATATTCTGTGCACTTCTTCATGGATATCGTCTCCATCAAGCACCTTGCTCTTTTCCCATTCCTTTTCTAAAGCAGACAGAACTTGGGAATTTGTGTTATGCTGTTAACAGTGTATCAGGGAGAAAAGGTGTTTTCATTTCTTTTAAGGTAAAACTAGCTCCTCCAAAGAATGGCAGCGACATATTCTGAAAAAGTATGGCAAAAGAGCAGAAGTATATTTTTTCCGTGACGTCCTTGAACTATTTCATATGAATTTAACAGACATATTGTGTTAATTCTAAGAATATAGAAGTGTGTTAATTTGCAGAAATTAAACAAGGAAAAAGACGAAGGAACTGCCAAACTGGAATTAGGTTCATTTTCTTTACCCCTCTGAAAGTAGGAAAGCTGAAAAGGTAATGGAAGAATTTTTCCTATTATACTGAAAGAGGTGCTATGAGATACATAACAAATTATGTCTACAGTTGGTCCCTGGACAGGTATTAACTGAATTTTTAGAATTAATATCTGTCTCGGAAGCTGTGTCACTGACCATTTAGCAGACGAGTTTTAGCTGAAATGATATGTGTGTTATCGCCATTTTGGTCCACATGAATTGTCAAGGGAGCTTTCTTCAGCAAAATTTTCGGCAAACAGCCCAAAGGAAACTCTGAAAGAATAATTTATGGCACTGACAATAAGCGTTAAAGAAATGCTAAATGCCAGTTTTATCTCCCAGGAACAAGCAACTAATATCCTTTTTTGAATTCAAAACTCACCTAAATTAAAGTTTTGATGCACAGTCTTTTGACTTTTAAAATTTACAGTATCTATCCTTTCTCTAAAGATACAAAAGTTTTAAAACAAAAAACCTAGATTTTACATTTAATTTCAACAATAAAGTACTGTCCTAGAGCCAGCTATTAGAATATTATATTTATCAAATGAGAAAATACTTTTAATTTGAAGAAAAAATGTGATAGCAAATAGAAAAGTATCATCTATTAAAATTTCAGGAAGATCTACATTATCTAAAGCCATTCTATAATTTTATTCATATATTTTGTGGAATTCACATATCTTATTCTTACAGCAAACATAACACTGTAGGCCACAAGAAGCTGCAGTACTATTGTTTAATTAGCAGCAAATTAATATTTTATATCTGGGTATATGGACAATAAATAGCCTGCTTCTTTGGATGTGAATGTTTAAAATGTAGTATCACTGCAGCTTCATAATGTGATTGTTATTTTACAGAGCTTATACACACACAAAAAATATGATCTTTGTCTATATTTTATACAAATACAACAGTAGTTTGTGAATACATTTTAAGTACATGATATACATGATAAGCCACTTGATTTCCCAATATCACAGAATAGCAATTTCAAATGCAATAAAAATATACAAAATTCAGCCTGGAATGCAGATTTTTTTCTTTTCTATTTTGACTCAAAACTTTATCATTAGAACATTTTTAGAGTACTAGTCCAAACACTTTTTCATTAGCTAAAAATACAATTTCAGCAGTCCAGCTTATGTTCAGGTATGATGCAATCCGTTTCCTAATGGATTCCCAGTTTTTGTTAAATTCAATGGGCTGTTAGTAACATACAGCATGTTCTTCACTCCACACCCTATAATAAAGCCCACTTTCCATTCTGAGTTACAGTCACCTTGTGGACAAAAGCTGGGTTTGTTCTGGTAACATCTGCGTGTCCGAGATCTCCTTTTGCAAGTGCACATGAATACATTGTGGTGGTGTAAAAGTTTGTTAATGACAAATTAAGTCACAGTAAAAAAATATATTGTACACTTTTACACCTAATGTAGTCCTTTTTCTATGGATAAAAAAATATGACTGAATGAGACAGAGAAGTTTGTAGCACCATGAAGAGTTGTAGCCCAAGTTACATTAGCAGCATGATCCAACATAATATTGAAGGAGTGTTTCTGAGAAGATAAAACATTCATTCTGGTTCATCTGTACCACTGAAGCTTATACAATGAAGTGTTTTACACATTAGCAATAGTTCTGTGTCATTTCTAGTCTAGATAACATCAAAAAGACACTGCCTTCCATCCTCAGAGGGTTGACGACACCATAGAAAGGCCCTAAGTGTGATCTGGGTGTGCCTTCACCAATGCTGGTCGCATAATCTTCTCTTCCATGATCCCCAAGGAACCCTCTATGGGTTTTTAGCACAAAACTATACAACGTATGTAGATCTATGTGATCACAACAGACCATCTGTGCTGTCGACATGGCTGCTGACAGTGTGAAAAAAACAAGACAAATTCAACTTAGGCACACATTTACCAGAACTAACAGTCAGCCATTGCTAATGATGAATACTCGACATTTAAAAGATCTCCTCCAACGTCACATGGATCTCAGTAGGCTAGAAGCAACTTGAGTGAACTGGTATTTTTTAACTTACGTACTGGGAAGACAGTGTGCTTTGAGACACGTAAACCTTGTAAAAAAATAAACCATTGTAAAACCTTATGAAAAGACACACACTGATTCTGTGCAATATAGCAAATTGATAAGAAAACACTGTAAAAATGTACCTGTTTAAAATACCATCTACCATTTTTGTACACAAAGCATTATATATCAAAGGCCTAAGATATATATCATCTAATGGCACTTGAAACAAATTATAATAAGTCTTAAAATAAAAGGCATAACCTATAAGAAAGTTTCTGTAAAGGTTTAGATTCATTTTGAAAGTGCTATATCTTGTAATATGTGTAGTATAGAGGTTGACCAAGCTCTATTTTTTAAAAAAATATTGGCCTATAATATGTGTATTGCTCACTAGATGAATGATCCTGAAAATATGTACTCTTTAACATTCATTATTAGCTTAATAAAGCAATCAGCTCTGGCTCATGTTTCAGTCAGTATATGGTTTTTAAAAACCGCTACTGTCCAAATTAACACAATATATCACTATATTCCACAAATGGCTAAGAAAAATAAAGCACAAGCAACAAATAGGCCAAAATACACAGCTTGAAAGGAACACTAAATGAAATTAAAAAGTTGCACGAAGAGTGATGCATGATCAGCCAGGACAACTGAAGTTTTTAAAAACTGAACTTGGTAATGATTTTAAAATGAAAGTTTTAACAGTGATCAGTAACTATAAAGTACTTGTATACATCAATGGATAGCATTGCTTACAGTGCCAAGATCCTTCCACACACACACTTTCGTGTTTGGTGACCTAATTTGTACACACATGTGGAAGTGAAACTGAATGAGGTTCAATATCTTGTCTGAGGTCCAAATTCTAAGCTACTTTTATTTAATGTTAATCCCTTTTTTTTTTTTTTTTTTTAACCAAGCTAAGGCACTACCAGAAATTTCTAGGATAATGATTCTGGCCACTGGAGAATGAAAACAGCATTGGCAATACTTACTTTTAATCATATCTAGTTGACATAGAAATAAACAATCTTTTTCTAGGAAAAAAAAAGGAGCCAATTCTGTGTTACAGCCTTATTAGAACATTGTGCAATTCAAATAAGCAAGTCTGCCTCATCTTCAATAGAAATTCTCTCAAAAAGGGTTTAGTGACCACTACAGTCAATTTAAAAAACAAATTTGCTGAATTCTCTCTTACTCTGAAGTGTTATTTCAAGTCTGTGGGGGCGGCAACAGGCAAAGAGGTGTACATTTGAAAATTAAGACTCCACAATTTTAACACTGGTGCCCTGAAAGATGTGCCTCCATGTATATGAATTCCATGCATGGCGAGATTTAGGTATATACATACATACATACATATATGGCGCTATTCCCCATTTCCAAAATGCTTTATTTAATAAATCCTGGTACTCCCTTTTTTAAGTTAGCAGTGAATACAGCCTAGTAAGGCCAATGTCTCAGTCCACTAATTTGATGACTTGTTAAGTAAATTTTAAACAGAATAAAAGTAGTGCTTCCATACTTGCTATATGTGATTTCTATTTAAAAATAGGTTTTCTATTTGTGCTCTGTCACCAATTTTTTTCCTTTCATATGGTGATTAAAGCAATATTGAACACTAATCATTCAACTAAAGATTTAGGTAAGCAATCTGTTTCATAGAAACTAAAGGAAGCAGTAATGAAGCAGAGCGAAGAGCCTACTTTCAGAGCAAATATTCTCCTAACCAAAAGCTAGGAGCAATTTGAAAAATTTAAAAATGTACTTCCTTATTAACATATATAAATTTAATGCCTTTGGAACACATTTTTTTAATAAATGTAATTTTTCATAATAAAATTTAAATACATAAGTATAAAAACTACTGCTCCTAGGATTAAAAAAATATAGGAGCATGATAAAATATCAGGAGCCAAAGCTCCTTAAGAGAGCAACTTTGATTCTATGAAGTGCGATATGTGTGTGTGTGTATTATATATATATATTGAAGCCCCCATTTACATTATTACAATTTACATTTCTCCACAAATTATACTACTCCCAAATATTTTAAATAACGTATTATATTCAGTAATCTGCGCTCATTTTTAAAAATTCTTGGTAAACATTGCAATCTGCAGTAATAACTGGCCCTACAAAAAGGAAAGAAGCTTCCATATAGGGCTGATGAGTGCTCAGAAATATTTTTCTTTCTTTCTGTTTTTTTAAAGAGATATATACTCTTCTATAAACCTCCCACCCTTGCCCTGCCCCCAATGGAGAAGGTCCCAAAATAAGGTGTTAACAAGTGCTTATTAGATATGTTTCTTAGGTTAATGTCCCAACTGACCCTTAGAAAAATACAATAATTAGACCTTTAAGAAGACTTTGTTGGTGGTCTAATGTGAAGAAAGCCTATAATAATTATTCAGTGAATATAATGTTCTTGATTATTATTTGCATGTTAACCAAGATAGTCTTGTTCTACTTTACTCTGTTCCCCTCTACAAATTCAACTTATTTGCAACACTCCTACCGTTGCCCACAGATGCCTGAAAGTGGGATTTAACTGCACATATTTCTAGTCACTTAAAACTTTGTGGTAGTTCCGCAGGTAGTTTTCTAATGCATTTAACTTCAAATTCTCCATCTAAAAAAATTACAAGGAAAGATGATGGATTCACCTTGAATCAGAAAGATAACTTGGGGGTAGGACTGTTGTTTCTGTTTTCTGCTTTTGGTTCTTAAGGGAAAGAAAAATGTATCAAATTCAGCAAGAAGTGATACAAACGATATGCTTTTACTTTACTTCTGAAAAGCCCAGTTTTTAATCCTGGCTACAGGGGCCATGATCCCTAGATAGTTTCCAGATGTAACCATGTGCTTCCCGTCTGTCTTCCTGCTTAGGATTCTGTCACCCACAGAGGCTGAGTCAGTCCACTCTGGGATGAACACACCTCATGGCTGCAGTTCCACAATGGCCCTAGATTATGGACTAACGGTGGATCAACAATCCAAAAAAACTGCTGGCTGCACTTGACCCACCACTTGGCTGGGAAAGTTGGAAAAGACGAAAGAGATACCGACTCTGAAGACTCCAATGCCATACACGATTAATATTATTAAATGAAAAGATGGCATGTTAAGAAGGATGAAACACAAAAAATTTCCTGTATACTAATTTAGGACCAGCTATTAAATGACAGGAAATGCCATGTCACCTTATAAAGAGTCTCTTTTTGATGTAAATACTGGTGCTTTGTATTTAGGGGTTGTTTTCCTTAAAGGCTCATAATAAAGACGGCAAATATTTTAGCCAGACAATAGCGAGTCTTCAAAATATACTGATCTGAAATTATGGTGTATCTAAGAAACATTTGTTATCTCCCCTAAACTGGACTCTTAATTTATTTGAAGTACTTGATTATTAATGCATTTAGAAGCTACTAAAAAATTTTAAACCTTGAGTTATTCACATGCATTTTATACAATTTACATTCTATTGCTAAATTTTTTAATGAGCCAGATGTCAAAAGGTGGAGCCATTGTTGTTAGACAAAAATGAAAATTATAAGATCTAAAAGTAATTTGAAAATGGGATTTGTAAAAGTTTACCACTAATAATGGCTTTCCTATATGAAAACAAAACCTCTTAAAATATGACAGTTGGCAGTGAATCAGGACAAAATACCCAGGTAAACATAACTGAACACAAATGGTTCCAAAGCTCGTTTTAAACACTAGTTTCTATTATACTGGCTTAATGAAAATTTGTATTATACAAAAGCAGAAATTTTTATACTGTTTTAAAGTAGGCACTAAAATAAAAATGGTCATCTAGGGCATGGCTATACATGTTTTTCTGTAATAAATCCATGTCCCAGAATCCTACTGAAAAGCTTGATGGAAACGTGGGAGGGTGGTGCTTGTGCTCAAACTGCTGGTGAAAGCTGCTGACAGTGAGTGCAGAGACCCAAGCCCTATAGTGTTTGCAGGATCCTGAAGATCCTGTGTTTGTGGGGGGAGCTGGGAAACAGAAGAATGTGCTTCTTCCTGGGAATAGCTCATTCCAAGGCTCCCCACTGATATAGGATTATAGGGAGGACCATTTAAAGGTATGAAATTAAACAACTGAGAAAAATCCAATGCTGGTGTGTTTAGGGGGTCACTGATGGAGATAGAGCTTTTGGATAGGGAGAGGTCCCCTGCACCATCATCTAGGGACCCAACCTGAGGATCCAACCCTAGCTTAGATGATGACGATGCTTGAGAATCTTGGGATGAAGAGGGCACGCCACCTTGTAACTCCATCAGATAACTCTCAATTTCCCCCTTTAATGGCTGTTCTTTTTCAGGAATAGAAATTGCATATGAGGTAGAACTGAATGGATATTTGAAAGAAAGGTGGTGAGAGGGATGAACAGTGTCCATATCTATTGGGCATGTCATTCCCAAAGGTAAAGTTGTGATCATTTGGTGGGCAGATCCCGAGCTCTGCATGGACTGAAACGGAGTGTTGTAGAGATTTAACTGCAAAGTGTTTGTGAATGGCTTTGATAACAGCTCAGTGGAAGGTAAGGACATCACTGGAAGGAGCTCGTCTTTTATAGGCACAGACACATTGCAGGTAAATGGGTCAAGGAAATCCACTGGTTCTGTTTTGACCTTCAGAAGCTCTTGATTGTGACTCTTCTTCATATGTCGAGTCAGGTGATCCTTGCGTCCAAATCTCTGTGCACAATACTGACAGAGGAAGTCCTTTCTTCCAGTGTGCACCACCATGTGTCTCCGGACATCCTTTCGGGTGTAGAATCGGCGATCACAATGCTCGCACTGGTGCTTTTTTTCTTTAACCCCACCAGACGACTTGCCTGCATGGGATTTAAGGTGCTCCAGAAGCACTCCCGTGCTTTCAAAAGTTTGCAAACATACCTTGCAGGTGAGGTCACCACTTGTGGCGGCATGCAAGGCCAAGTGACGTTTAAACCCAAGCTTGGTATTGTAGTTCTTGCCACATTCTTCGCACTTAAACGTCTCTTTGTTAGGGTCGTGTGTATGGAGGTGATTCTTCAGATGATCTTTCCGGTGAAACATTTTCTCACAATAATTACACTTGTGGGTTTTCTCAGGAGAGTGAGTAGCCATGTGCCTTTAAACACAGATACGGTGTATAAGTAATTATCATGACAAAAATGGCATGTATTCACTTTTCAAATGGAAACTAAACTACTATGCTAACACAGAATTCCCTCAGTAATGGAAACTGTTTTAACTTAATATATACCACAAGGATAGTTAATATACTTAATTACTGTAAAACTTGAGCCATTTAAGTTGCCACTTTAGTTTTTGCTGGTTTTCAGCTATCATTACAAAAGCAAATGAGCAAGACTGAATATACTCACGTAAACGTCCATACCCTTTTCTTGTCGTAATTTCTCTCTACAAATGGAAATTCTACTCATTAAGCATTTTATCTTAAAAAGTCCAAAGACACTAACACATAAAAGTATGTGATTTAGAATACTAAAAACTAACCAATGTCTAATCTACTTAACATTTCCTCTCTGCAAATCAGCTGAAAAATGTGTATACAAATACATACGCTTACAATGGCTTCAAATAGCCAACATAAGAGAAAATATAATCTGAAAGACAAATAGAGTTTAATACCTTTGTAATTTGTACTTAGAAACAAAGGCCTTGGTGCAGTCTTGTTGTATGCACTTGTAGGGCCTCTCTCCTGTGTGAGAGTAGGAGTGAACCTTTAATTTCTCAACACTGTTAAAGGCCTTGTCACACAGTTGGCAAGGAAAGTTTTTTCTTGGTTTGGTTTCACCACGCTTACGTTTCCCTGAAGGGACTTTCTGGGTATCTCTTACTTCTGACAAATCACCAGGAATGACAGTGGCCATCGCAGCCTAAACCAGGCCTTCTTGTTGGACACTTGGGAACTGCCCAACTCCACTAAATGATATAGCTTTAGGTGGCTTCTCAAGTTTCATGTGGTCGTAAAAGAAAGCAAAAAGGGACTGGAAAAAAAAATAAGAAACAACTAGTTTGTAACTAAACTCAATTTTTAAAAATTTTATTTGCTATGTGATGCTTTTGAATTAAAAAAGAAACCAATAAAATGGATTCAGCTGGTCTAATGTAACATCATTACATTACATTAGAAACCCCATAGGTTTCTTTATATTTGTCAAAATACATAGAAATGCATTGCTCAGAATGAACAGTTCATACATACCCTGAAATTCCACTTGACACATGTTATACTTAGGCATAGCAGTAGTGATTTCAGGAACTCTCATGAAGCATCAAAACATGACTCTAAAGGTGGTATTATTAAGATTCAATTTTTACAAAAGATGAGAGAACATAAATCTGACTAAAAATGTTTCAGCCAATAGTTCAGTCTCTAAAAATCATTTTGATCTGTACACATCAGCTCTAATCAGACTGCATTATAGGAAAACAGAGATAAATAAGCAACTGGAAACTCTTTTAGGCATCTTATGAACCATCGAGTCTGTGGAAGAGGTACTTCAGCAGAAATTCTAGAGGCCTGAAAGAGTTGAATGCACCACCCAAAGTAAAAATTTAACCGTTGTACCAGTGTCATCACACTCTGAGAGATTCCTGAGTCAAGAGTAGAAATGATTCATCTTCCTAACAAATACGAATTCTTCAAACAGTAAAACTTTTTGATGTTTTATGAAGTGAAGAGCATGGCTCTTTGTCATTTTGGGAGAAAGACAGGGTGAATGTAATTTTCCTCATCGTTTTTCACATCACAGAGATTTTAGGCACACTGAAGTTAGTAGGTAAACTGGAGTCAGCAGGCATCCCTGAGAGCTGAGGGCATCGGCCTTTGGACACACCTGCAACCCCTGTGCAGCAGACCTGTGTGGACCTCTGACTTAGCACACAACACATCCTCAAAGAGGCGTTTTGGGCTGGTAAAAAGGTGTGTCAGAATTTCAATTTGTTATTGGTGCTGCAAAAAGGAATGAAATGTACATATTGTACAGCAAAGAGTATATCTTTTTAAACAAAAAATTCAAAAATGAATTAAAACCTTTAAAAATCCAACAAAACATAGTAAATATTATAGACTCTATTTCTTAGGTTAAGAAAACTAACTCCTCAAAGTTCCAGTTCTTCAATGTTTGTGAAGGCTAGTTGAGTGATGCACCTTCCTTCCTTTTTTTTTTTTTTTTTTTTTTTTTGAGACAGAGTCTTACTCTGTCGTCAAGGCTGGAGTGCACTGGGGCAATCACAGCTCACTGCAGCCTTGACTGCCCTGGCTCAAGCTATCTTCAAGTGCCTCAGCCTCTGGAGTAGCTGGGACTACAGGTGCATGCCATTATGCCTGGCTAATTATTTTTAATTTTTTTGTAGGTACAGGGTCTCACTATGTTGCGCAGGCTGGTCTTGAACTCCCAGGCTCAAGCAGTCCTCCAGTCTCAGCCTCCCAACGTGCTGGGATTACAGGCATGAGCCACTGCACCTGGCCTGTGATGTACCTTTAAAAGACTGTAGAAATAATACTTGCAACCTCTTTCAAAAATGTCTGATTTTTTAATTGAAAACTTGAATATGACTAAGTGACTGTTAGCAACCACTAATCAATTGAATTTTTCATCCTATTACATGTTTAAAAAAAAGAAAACCAACTTCCTTATATCATCTGTGTTTTGACATCAGACTGTCTGACACTGACACTTGCCATCATAAGCTAAGTATATTAGGCTGACTTTCACGATTCTAGTCATACTTTCACAGGAGCTCTAAATAGCTACATTTTTGTAAAATTAACTATGTTACAACAGGTCTTACTATATTTTAATGGAAAGGCTGTTACTAAACAGGCAAAATACAGCAATTATCCACTCACTTGATATGGGTAAGTTAATCAGTATTTGCTTCAAGGGTCTTTCTTTATTAGGTAGATACAGGCAAGGCCTTTGTGCTATTCAAACTGTCTAAAAATCCACCTTGCAGTTTAAAAGTGACATTGACACAATGCAACTGACATTACTAACACTAACATATGCTCCTTTTGTTTTAGACTTTCTGGATCTCAAGGACTTCTTGCTCTTTTTCTGTTATATTCTCATTTAAAAGTTAGCTCCTCTGCCTCCCTCAGAAATATCTATTATACAGCTATTCTGCTGTAACCAGTAATGACGCCACAAACTGGTATAAAGCATTCTGCCAAGGCAGGAAACAAACTTTAATTTTTATTATTTGATTTCCTAGCATGATACTTTTATGCACCTATTTAAAACATCATGGGAAACAAGTTGATCATTTTCCAATTGTAAAATCTACATGGAATGCAAAGTATCTAAATCCCTGTATATAACTAATATTTGAAAATACTTCAAAGACTGGTCATATTTGCCATTGTGTTATAAAATCCAACTATAATGGGCAGAGAATTCCAGTTAAGAAAAACAACTTGTAAGTTATTAAAAAAAAATTAGAAGTGCACCAATATGCAATATACAAACATTTGATTGTACTAAAATTGGTGATAATCAATATGGAGTAACAAATGAATTCTGTTATCTTTGGATGTACATACTGAGCAATGAAGATTGCACTGATTTCAAATATTACACTTTTCTAAGACCAGCTGAAATTTTTTTCATGGCTGATAATAACTTTATTTTAGTATATTACAAAACTCAAATTAATTATCACAGGTGCATTTTGAACTATAGGATAAGGTTACGAGCTCAATATCTAATAAAAGATCACATTCATAATATACATATCAGTCTAATACTTTACAGGTGCATGCATACAATTATAGTGATTTTTAGTTTAATGCATACCTGATTACAGATGGAAAAAGCCTCAGACTTTGATCTTAGCCAGTCCCATTGACTCTTCGTGGAAGAGAGTGGAATCCAATCCTTCCCATTTTGGCCAATCTATGAAAAAAAAGTGAAAATGGACTATCCTCTAAACGGAACCAGTGTGTAGATGATGGAAAATACAGGATAAAAGAATTGCGGTTTCATGGCACATGCTTACATTCCATACTCTGCTTACGAGTCATGCATTAATTTTCACCAACTATGTATGTTTATTAGGTCTAAGCACATTTACATGACCAAATAAATGCATATATAAAAAGCAAAATAGTATTACCTAGATAAATAGCATTTGTGATGCTGAATGACTCCCCACTTCTTTCCCAAGTTCATTTATTTATTTTTAAAATCTAACTTACCGACGGAATGGGTATTAGGGTTACTGCTTATAAACCAAATGATCAAAATTTTATTTAGTTTATTAATGTTATGGAAGTGACAAACTTAGGCCCCTTTTGGAGGGTACATCTGGAGCCACCCAAAGAACAACAGGCTCCCGGTGAAAGCACTCACACCCATACTGTGGACACTAGCACAACTGGGGCTTCTCAGAGTTACACTTTTGCTATCTGCAACACCTGCCAATTTATTTTTCAGAAGGCTGCAAGGATGGCTGAAATGTAGCAACAACTCTGCACTCTTTAGATTTCAAAAGCATGCAAGAGAAGTTAAATATAGATTTGCTGCAGACTAGGGGGGTGTTAGGAAGAAAGTATCATTTGGTTTTAGAGGTCATTGTTGAAAACACTTAAAAAAGCTTAAAATGTGTAGAAGTATCATGATCATTAGTAGACTGAGATCATACATAGGAAAAAATCTGTTAATAATTCTTGATCATACAAGTAATCATGAAAAGAATAATGGTCAAAAGGCAGAATAATCTAGAATTATCTATTGTAGAGAGCACAAGGCACAAGAGATCAGTAAACTCAGAATATTTTAAAGACGAACATTCAGAAATCATGATTATAAAGAGAAAATTAAATCAAATAAAGTATAATAACAAAAGGATATGTTAATGACAGTTTAAATAAAAATAACTTTCAAATTCTTAACACCAATCTAAAAATGTCCCCTGCAATAAAATTTTGCTACTTGAAGAATTTGATGATGTCTAAATAAATTATTTAATAGAAGGCATTCAAGCATCATTATAAAAATACTAAGGGTATATCTGAAAGCAGCATTATTTTTACAGTTTAAAAGACAGAAACACCAAAAATTTAGACCTATAAAAGATATTTTAAACATTAAAGCAAAAGCTCCATTCTTTTGTAAAGCACAGGACATGCATAAATGGAAGAATGAAATTCTGCACATCAAAATTACAAAATAATAAAATTAACTTTATAAATACTTACTTGCCCAGAGCACATACTGAGTTTTTTGTAGGTTAATTAAGGATATGAAAGACCATTTTGTGGGTATTGTTATTTTAAGAATATAAATACCTGACACGTGTGGAGTGTTTTCATCTCTATTATCTCCCTGGAATTCAATGAATCTGAGAGGTGGATGTGTTTACCATCACTGCCATTTTAAGGTGAGCGGCCCACAGAAGATGAACAACTTGACAGCGTATGTGTGGTAAAGAAGGGATGAATGCCCTAAAACCATGACTTTACTTTTTTATTCTACTGTTTTCTATGACAAGGCAGGTTAGCAAACCAATTCGCAAGTGGATAAATCCTGTCACTATACTTAAAAGACCAGAAGAGGGGGTCGTGCCTATTTTCTCTTCTAGAGTTGCCAAATATACCAAATATCCAAAAGGAGTTAAATTAAGAACTTAAAATTTTAAAAGACAGTTTATTAAGTCAGTTTTAAATAATTTAAACAACTATTAATGTAAAATAATAGCTAATACCTCTGAGTGGATAACGATTTGGGTAGAAACAAATAGAAAACCCAAGTTAGTAAACAGTAAGTTTATATATTTTTTCTCCAATCCATATATATTTTATTGCATCTCAAATACATTCATAAAATCTTTATTTATGCTTATTGTTCAATGGCATTTTACATTAAAAACTTTAGCATCTAAGTATTTCAACACAGTTTAAAATTATGTATCATGTGACATATACCAATAGTCTAGAAATTACCCATGCTATATATTTTACAATCTAAAATAAAATAACACACCAGTCATTTTACTTTGTTAAAGTTCTTAATTTCCTTACATTGAACCTATTTTGAGTTCTTATGAGTTGCCAAATAATTTCAAAGTTCTGTTAAATATTTCCCCCCAAAAAAGAAATCAGGACTGGTTAGAAATAATTATTTGGATGGATATAATACAAATATACAGTTTGTATTTATGTAAACATATCTGGAAAGTTAGATAAAATTATCTGTATATTCTCTTATATATTATTAAGAAAAACTTATAAAGCACTAGGAGCACTATTCTGAAAAGTATAGCAAAACTTGGTTTTATACCTGCTTTTCCTTTCTACTTAAAACAAAAACAAAAACAAAACTCATCAAAAAGATTTGGTTATTGTGCTTTTCTTTCTTTTTTATTTTTTAAGATGAAGTTTCACTCTTGTTCTCCAGGCTGGAGTGCAATGGTGTGATCTCGGCTCACCGCAAACTCCGCCTCCCAGGTTCAAGTGATTCTCCTGCCTCTGACTTCCGAGTAGCTGGGATTACAGGCATGTGCCACCATGCCTGGCTAATTTTGTATTTTTAGTAGAGACGGGGTTTCTCCATGTTGGTCAGGTTGGTCTTGAACTCCCAACCTCAGGTGATCCGCCCGCCTCGGCCTCCCAAAGTGCTGGGATTACAAGCGAGAGCCACCGCGCCCGGCCAAGGTTAGCTTTTTGAGTGATGAAAATTTTTCTTTGCCTTGATCTGAAGAACTGTGAACCAAAGTAGAAAATACATATACCCATTTCAAAGTGCCCTAAGATGAGCAGCAGTTTAGAATAACCCCTTCCAGTTTTTACTGGTACCAGAAGAGGCATTTTTTTCCCAGGGCAACTTCACATAAACAATAGTTAGAGAGTATGGTGTGTTTGTGCACACGCACACAGGTTTACCTTCCAATGTTTTACATTATTCTAAAACAGTGACTCATATAGAAAACTAACAAGCAAAAATGAGTCATATATCAGAAGATCTACTAAAATCTATTCCTATGAGATACCAGCAAAAGAATAGGCCTGTATTGAAGCTGTTTCCATAGTTCTGATAAACATTTTGCTAAGAGATGTGAATTTTTCACTTACCTGCATCAATAATTCTTTCATATTTAAAAGTCAAAGATTTAGCTAATTAAGGGCAAATACCATCAACATCAAAGTTTTATTCTCCTTTATGCTAATAATAAGATGCCTTTAGTAATTAACACAGAAAATGTCAAAAATTTCCTTAAATCAGGTTTTTTATATAGGGTAAATAAAGTAGGTTGCAAAAGGAAACTTACCAGTTCTTAATATGGTAATTGACGTGTATGCAACACAAGAGAGTTTTGAATGATGTGAAAGAATCTATTACTAAGATAACAACTGAAGGCGGTCAATTTTGAAGTAAGGGCAACAGTATACTTAGAACTCCTTTTTAAGAAACAACTTCGGTGTTTCTGTATAATTTCTAAATTTTTATAGCATTCACTTTCCATAGGTTTGTGGAATCACTTATTTGTGACAAATAACAGGATAAAAACTATCTTAAAATAATGTAAGAATGAAAAATAACTGTAGACAGGACAAGGGCAGAGAGGTTATGCCAGTATTACTCACTGCTGTTTCTCATAAGAGGCAGTTAAAATGACTGTTGAATGAATGAAAAAAATTAAAACAGGGCAAGTGCTTACCAGGACCACAATGACCTACAGGCTTGCTTAGTCACCGCAATAGACATAAGACAGAATTTATAGTTGGCCCTCTGTATTTGTGGGTTTTGCATCCACGGGCTCAGTCAACCACAGACTGAAAATATTTTTTAAAAACTGCACTTGTACTGAACATGTACAGACTTTTTTTTGGTAATTATTCCTTACACAGTACAGCATAACAACTATTTACATAGTATTTACATTGTGTTAAGTATTATAAGTAATTTAGAGATGATTTGAAGAGTTCATGAGAGGGTGTGCATAGGTTATATGCAAATACTATGCTATTTTATATCAGGGACTTGAGCATCTGTGAATTCTGGTGTCCCAGGGAAGTTCTTGAACTAATCTCTCATGGATATCAAGGGACAGCTGTATATATCTATATTCAAGTCAAACATAATGTAGTATGAACACAATGTGGTCTAACAAATTGAATAAGCTAACAGAACAGTATTTTGTTTGAAACTAAGCAGCTATTTGAAAAGTCGTAAAACAATAGCAATTATAATAGGTTTTTAAAAATACTTATTTTGCCTCAGAAAACAGAAAATGTTAATACTAAGAAATCAACTAATACAAGTAGATAACATTAATTTGGCTCGCATTTCTAATAAAAATTTCAAAGTGAAAACATGCCTGGTGCCTGAATTAGTCCCTGGTGGAGGCGGAAAGGACGAGACTCTCAGATGGGCTGCTGGTCCCTACAGAGGGGAACAGAGAGGAGCCAGAGCAACTACTGAGAAGCAGGAGACATAGCCAAGACATGCGCTTAACTCGCCTGAGTTATAGCAGGTCCCCAAAAATGCATTTTATAACTAGAATGTGGAAAACTACAGTATTTACTTTCCTGAATTAGATGTCATGGTTAACTAAAGTTAATAAAAAATAAGGAGGCCCTTTCTGAATTAGTGTGTTTTATATTTTTAACTCATTTTGAGCAATTCATTAACATATAGCTCTAGAACATCTTTTTGAAATTTACCATAAAAATGAGCCTTACCGATGTTTGGAATGTTTTATATTTAGTATACAGATAATAAAAACTAATTGAGAGGTGAGGGGCAATGGCCTGTCTGTCTATAAGAACCAACAGGAAAGTCAATGAATTCCAAAGTGGAATCAGGAAACCCCAACATCAGTTCTCTTATCTGTACAAGTAGGATGTTCCTTTTCAGGCCACTTATTTTCTAGAGTACCCAGAGAGAATGAACAGATAACCAAATGAAGAAGGAGTATCAAATGAATTTTATCTCCCAATCCAGACATATTTTCCTTGGTTATTTATTTTATAGAGCAAAAATACCACATTAAGTTAAAAATTTCTTTTTCTCTTTTGAAAGCTACCTTTTATTCTTTTTGGAGACAGGGTCTTGCTCTGTCACCCAGGCTGGAGTGCAGTGGTATAATCTTGGCTCACTGAAACCCCCAACTCCCAGGTTTAAGCGATTCTCATGTCTTAGTTTCAGCAGCAGCTGGGATTACAGGCGTACACCATCACACCTGGCTAAATTTTTGTAACTTTAGTAGAGATGGGGGTTTTGCTATGCTGGCAAGGCTGGTCTCAAACTGCTGGCCTCAAGTGATTTGCCCGCCTTGGCCTCCCAAAGTGCTGGGATTACAGGCTTGAGCCACCTCACCCAACCAAAAGCTCCCTTCTAATGATCCATAACTTACAAGTACTTCATTTTCACTGCTATGTGGGGTGGTGATGGGGGAATTCCCTATGATTATGTATTTTTATCAAAATAAAAAGACTTAAAAATACAGTGGTACAACAATCAGGTATTTTCATTTTCTTCACATAGGGCCATTAGTATTTGCAAAGAGGAAATGAAAAAGAAATTGCGCAAAAGGGAAGCAATGATGCCTTAGAGACAGCAAAGAAGGGCAATTATATCTGAAAGCAAAGTAAGATTGCTTAATCAATACTTTATTTTTGGAGAATTTCCTGTGCTCCTTTTTTTTTTTTTTAATAAAACATTCCCCAAATATTGGTGATCTGCTTCTGATTACAAAGTAGGTAGCCCACAGGTCAGCTCAATCTGAAAACTGCAAGTATCCCAAATTGTCATAAGTTCTTGATCTTACTACCATTAACCCCTTAAGTTTCTGGGGGGTACAACAAAAATGTTTGATACCAATTATAAAAATGTTCGCAATGAAGGACCCTAAATGTCCGGAGAACATACCTCCATTCATGTATGGTTAATTGCCTAATGCTATTAAAATCGAAAATACAGAATAATCCAGGTATCATGTTTGAACTGTCAGGCACCCATATTGAATCTATAAATTCAAACACAAAGGTAGACATCAGACATTTTATAAGAAAAGCACTAAAGAAAGAAAGATTTACTTAGCTATAAATTTAAGTTTTACTCAGCTATAAAAGCTCAAGCAACAAATTAGTTTTAAGCCATCTCAAAGTAAAATGCACTTTAAAGATGGGCTTGTGCTGTGGCATAAATGTGTATGTGCCGATGCTTGAGCAGCACTACAAAATGTAATGAAAACAGAATTCACAGCCTGGTTCAGGTCTGCACGTGCCATCTATCTGTCCTCCGTAGCTTATGCCCATGAGGATGTCCAGGATAAAATCACTTCTAGAAACAACCATTTCTATTTATTCCCACACAGTTAAGGGCAAACAGGATCAGTTCTTGGCAAAACTGTAATCAGGGGCAGCCACTTTCTCCTCTGCCTCCAGAGGACCCGATGGACACCCTGGGCTAGAACAATTAGAAGAGATTTGTTATCTACATTCCTTGACCATTTCTACTTGATCAAGAATGACCTTAAAAGCCTTACCTCTTTGAACCTTTTACCCTTAATATGGACTGGAAAGCTCTTCTTGAAATGTCTGACATGGCTCTCCCCCAGCGACAGTAAATTCATCTGCAGGGAGGCTATTACTCATCCCTGTATCCCCAGCACTGTTCAGTGCCCTAGCATGTAGCAGACATTTGATAGACACTTGTTGAACAGAACTGTGGTCCCTTTAAGGTAATTTCAGGAATCAAAGCTAGCAGGTAAATATGTTTCAGGTCTCCTAAAATTTCAAATTGGTTATAAAGCAAGCTCAGAAGACAAGCCCCATAGAAATACATGGTTAGTTTGTTTTGGCAGAGAGGTAAGAACTTAGGGAAAGCAACACCGCCACTTGGGAGTCCGTACTGCTTCTATGTCCCCAGGAGAGGCATCACCTGCTTTGGCAGACCTCAAAAGCCAGGGAGTCTCGGGCATGTGCTACCCAGAGCCCACCAAGCACAGAGACAAACCTGGCAGCACTTAGCCTGCCTGAATGTTCAGAACACTTCTGCTTTAAATGTCCTGTTCCATAGCTCCTTAAGCACATGGAACCTGTATTGATCACGATTTATCATTTAGAAATAGCCAGTGAAGTTCTATAGGAAGGAAAAAGGAACAAAGTGAAATTCAAAATCTTTAAAAGAGGATATTCTTCATGTGAAAATAAAATGTGAGGGTCATGTTTAAAATATCAGAGAAGAGTTTCAACCGATTATAGATTAGGAGAATAAAAAAGAAGAAAACCTGCACAAATATAGTTTGGTTAAATAAAACTAATCGCTTTTTTCTAGCTACTAAAAAACAACTTTATTAAAACAAGTTTAAACTATAGTAAAGTAGAAAAAGAAAAAAAAATCTATAACTCCTAACACTAAAGAACCATTGATATCTTTTTCTTTATTGAAAAAATAATTATAGTATACAGACATCTAAAATTTTAATGCTAAGTTGATGTTGATGCTTAAACTCCATAGAATGTTCTTTTTATAGAAAACTGTAGCCAGATTAATTCGTGCACCTTTAATTCGATTGTCAAGCTCTGTTCATGTATCTTGTGAAACCCTGCCCAAGGCCTCCTTTCCCCCATCTGCCCTCAGTGAAGAGTTTAGGAGCCCATCTGCTGGTATCTGGCACAGCCACAATTGTTTTTTTTCCCATTCTCCCCGTCCTAGAGCTGGGGGCCCTGGCCTCTTAACCTCTACCCTATCTTGAAGGTCGTGCTGACAGACTTACCTGGTACCAAATCCATGTGTGCCTGAATTTCCAAGTATTGCTACACCTCGATTCTGTGACACTGAGCTGCACCTACAGGTTGGGAAATCTAGATACTTGTGTGTGTCCTCGTCCCAACAACGCTGGCAAATTGCTCTCGTTGCACTGGGTTCCTTATTCTAGCATCTGCCACATCCTTGTGAGCAAGTCTAATCCCCCTTTCCACCTGCCCATAGGTAATAGATCTTTCCCAGGAGACAAAAATAAATAAATAAATAAAAATTAAAAAATAAAAAAAAGATATAAGGGCAACATGGGACAGTATATCACTGAGCCAGATTTAGAGAAAGAAGAGCTTAAAAGTTCATCTGTGGGCTATCTGGGGAACAGGAACAAATAAGTTTTTACAGCAGCTATGTGTTTTTGTGCAGAGTGAGGAAGATTGCTCCTTGCTAGTGTTCCAAGCCTCCCATTTGACCATAATCATTACTGAAGTCCTGCTGATCACAGTACATACGGATAGACCCTAAGATCGTAAGTGGCATGCTTATTATGTGGCATGCTTTTCAAAGCTTTTAATATCGTATCTTATAGTATTTAGGAAGTGGAATAATTAATCACTTTGAAAGTCATGCCATATAATGATAAAAGCCACCTACCTGAGGCCCTGCTCCAAACTCTAGCAAGGCAGCCTTACTAATAGACCGTCACAGAATGAAGCATTCTGGGTGCCAAATACGGCCAAGGCAGCACCAAGAGGCAACCTAAAAAGAAAAGAAGAGTTAGTGTGAAATTCCAAAAGTCAGGCCAATCTAGTTAATGGCATTGAACCAAACTGTTTTCAATCCATTATCACTTATTCACATTCTTTGCACTTTTATTGAAAAATCTATCTTAAATCCTATTAAAAACATTTATAAGTACAATGAGAAATGAAAAGTATAAAAATTAATATTCCTAGATTTATATATTTTCCACCGAATCACGGTTATCTAGATTATTCACATTTTTATTTGGATACATTGTTTCAAGTTTACTGTCATTTCTCAAAACTGCTGCTTATTTTCTTTATGTTCTAAACACACCCATTATCTTCTCTGCAACACAGTTTTCAGAAAAACCTTTTGTGGTGTCTATCTTGTCCTTAACAATCGCTATGGGAGAAATCTTGCCTCTTGAGTGCTTTCCTCAGTCCGAGACCAGGCCATCTGTCCACAGAGAAGAGTACAAGCCACTGAGCACTCTAAAGCAGAGGCGGAATAAGGAGCCAGGGACAATTTCTGAGCTCTTGAATTAGTCTTTATGATGTGATTATTGCTTGGTTTCAACTGAATTCCCAGGTCATGTCCATCTTCGACAACATACAAAGAAAATGCAAAATGTATTCTGAAGTATTCAATGTTTTGGGTTATCTTCAGCATCTTTCTGTTGGTGCAGGTTATGGAGACCAACCTCTAGGGACATTAACTAAGAGAGAAAAGGAAGCCAGAAGTTCGATGCAGAAAATCACCTGCTTCATTTCTCTAAACCAGAGGGTCAAGGCTCAATTATACATGGTTACTACTCTACTAAGACGAATGTCTGATACTGATGGAATAAACATGACCAACAGCTATTATGTATGGTGCCAATCTGACTTACCATGGGTGCAGATAGACATGATTCTCGTTCTGTAGGAGCACACAAGCTAGTTGTGGCTGCAGAACATATACTTTTTGTCAAGTTAAGAAATAGAAATGTCAAATACAATCTGCCATAAGGTTGTATCAGAGTGACAAATCAACATTTGAAAATAGTATTATATGGTATAAAAAAGTACCACAGAAGATCAGAAAAGAAAATAATATTAAGGATATTTGATTTTTGCCTCAAAAAAATGTACAACTAAGAGAGGTGAGGTTAAAAAAAAAAAAAGTGTGTGTGTCATTATAGGGGTGGGCATGATTGCCAAAAGAAGTCAGAGATTAGAACCATAGGTGATTAGATTCTAAGAAGACCTTCTGGCTGCCGTGTAGCGTACTTTATACATGCTTTATGGATTCAGGTAAGAGAAGTGCCCAATGGGCTGGACTGTTCACACTCATGTACTCCTTACAAGATGTTTGGCAACCGTAAATCATTGAATGGATTGAAAGCACTGAGAATAGCAAATACTTGGGAAGGTAGGACCAGAGAGGAGAGAAAGGAAGTGCTAGTTTGAAAGAGACACAGAAGATATGTGTTGGAGTTATCCAAAGCAAAGATGAAAACCACCAAAAATAAGATTTACTGGAAGTCCGGTTATGTGCCTAACAGTATTCATAAAAAAAGATATGAGGAAGAAAGGCAACGATAGTTGTACAGCCAACTCTTACAGAGACAGATTCAAGCCAAATTACAGATTAATTATTGATAGAGCCTAAAGATCACCTCTATGAGGCAAAATCAGGTAATTTAAGAGGAGAAAGAGCAAAGATAGAACTTTTTTTTTTTTGAGATGGAGTTTTGCCCTTGTTGCCCAGGATGGAGTGCAATGGTGCGATCTTGGCTCACTGCAACCTCTGCCTCCCAGATTCAAGTGATTCTCCTGCCTCAGCCTCCTGAGTAGCTGGGATTACAGGCATGCGCCACCATGCCCGGCTAATTTTGTATTTTTAGTAGAGACGGGGTTTCTCCATCTTGGTCAGGCTGGTCTCAAACTCCCGACCTCAGGTGATCCGCCTACCTCAGCCTCCCTAAGTGCTGGGATTATAGGCGTGAGCCACTGTGCCCAGCTTGAACTTTAAGGAGAAGGAAGAAAAAATGTGGAAGAAACCACAAAAAGATAAAACTGCTAATAACTACAGAACTGGTGCATAGGTTCCCCACTTAGGCAAGAAAAGTTATTGGGCGGAAGGCAGTGAGAGAATGGGGGAGGGAGAATGAGAATGAGAATGTGTAAAAAAGGACAGCTCAATGGTGATAAGGAAATGACATTCAACAAGACGATGTTTTCCTTCTAGGGGCTTTGCACTTAAAGAGAAGAGGAAAACAAGGTAGGGGTAACAAAGGGAGAACTCTAGATTCCAGGGAGAGACTAGAGAATGCATCCATGCTGAAGATAAAGAGGTGGGGAAGAAACTGGGGCATTCTTGGAAGAATCAGTGTAGACTGGGATCGACAGAAGAGGGAGAGGCTTTTGCCCTGGATAAGAAAAGAGGCTTTCAAAAAAAAAAAAAAAAATCAAACTAGACTTAGGAGGGAGGTATATGCAGCCTGCCAAGTTTTTTTGGTAGCAAAGGCAAGAAATGTATGGAGTTTGCTCACCTTGGCCAGTGCTGAGTAGAAGGGTCCTATGTCTGAAAAGAATGAGAAAGGAGAATGGCACTTGGCTAGGGAAAATATGTGCCTTTGAGAGAAGCAGAGGAGTGTTCAGGGTATCTTGAGGGTTTTACAAAAACAAACAAAACTTGCAATAACGGATTAAACTACTTAGGTACTACTGATGGGAGTGTAAATCGTTGAAACTTTTCTGGAATATATTGTGCAATGATGTAATCAAAGCCATTTAAAAGTTAATATATGTTGACCTGATAATTTATTTAGAAAAATTAAAGCAAAAATATAAAATATTTGAGTTTAAAGATGTTCAGCTGGGTATGGTGTTGCATGCCTGTAATCCCAGCATTTTGGGAGGTTGAGGTGGGTGGACCACCTTAGGTTAGGAGTTCGGGACCATCCTGGCCAACATGGTGAAACCCTGTCTTCACTAAAAATACAAAAAAATTAGCCTGGCGTGGTGGCGGGCACCTGTAATCCCAGCTACTAAGGAGGCTGAGGCAGGAGAATTGCTTGAACCCAGGAGGTGGAGGCTGCAGTGAGCTCAGATCGTGCCATTGTACTCTATCCTGGGCGACAAAATTGAAACCCCATCCCCCCCAAAAAAAAAAAAGTTCAAAGTATATTTTAAGATTAAAAATTGATAATGTCAAATAAAAAGGGTGAAGTGTGAGATGCATGTGATAGAACCGCTATGCAGCCATTAAAAACCACGCAGTTAAAGAATACTGTAATCCCAGCACTTTGGGAGGCCGAGGCAGGTGGATCACGAGGTCAACAGATCGAGACCATCCTGGTCAACATGGTGAAACCTCGTCTCTACTAAAACTACAAAAAATTAGCTGGGCATGGTGGCACGTGCCTGTAATCCCAGCTACTCAGGAGGCTGAGGCAGGAGAACTGCCTGAACCCAGGAGGCGGAGGTTGTGGTGAGCCGAGATCGCGCCATTGCACTCCAGCCTGGGTAACATGAGTGAAACTCTGTCTCAAAAAAATAAATAAATAAATAAATAAAAATAAAAAAATAAAATAAAAATAAAAATACTAAATCCCCCGGGAAAGAGCAGTTAAAGAACAGTAAATCACATGGGGAAAGTTATAATGTTAAAATTGTAGAAAGTGGGACACACAATAAATATATACATTATGATTCTAATTTTTTAAAAGTATGCGCTTCAAACTAGCTCTCCCTCTCCCAATACTATTAAATGTACGTAGGTAAGTTATAAACGGCAGATTAGGAAGCTTTACACTTTTCTATATTATACAAATGTCTTTATAAGCTTTATAATCTTTACAATGTCTCTACAATTTTACAAATGTCTTTATAATCAGAAAAAATTATTTCACCAAAATAATGTTTTTTAATAAATGCTGCTGGAAAAGTTTGATATCTACACACCAAGAAAATGAACTTGGAATCATATCTCACACCATATAAAAAACTTAACCCTAAATGGATCATGAACCTAAATGTCAAACCTAAAACTATAAAACTTCTGGAAGAAAACAGAAAAATGTCTGTAGCATTTATTTAGTCATAACACCAGAAGCGCAACCCATAAAATAAACACACTGATACATTTCATCAGAATTTAAAACTTCTCCTCAAAAGACAATGTTAAGAGAATAAAAAGGACAAACCATTAGAAGATTAGAACAAGGGGCTGGGTGCAGTGGCTTGTGCCTGTAATCCCAGCACTTTGGGGGGCCGTGGCGGATGGATCACCTGAGGTCAGGAGTTCGAAACCAGCCTGGCCAACATGGTGAAACCCCATCTCTACTAAAAATACAAAATTAGCTGGGTGTGGTGGCACATGCCTATAATCCCAGCTACATGGGAGGCTGAGGCAGGAGAATCACTTGAACCTGGGAGGCAGAGGTTGCAGTGAGCCGAGATCACGCCACTGCATGGCAGCCTGGGCAACAGGGTGAGACTGTCTCCAAAAAAAAAAAAAAAAAAAAAAGATTAGAACAACATCTCTGCAAAGCATATACTTGATAAATTACTTATATCCAGAATATATAAAGAACTTCTGAAACTCAACAATAAAATAAAACTCAGTTAAAAAGATCTGACCAGATATTTCACCAGTGAAAAGACATGAATGGCAAAGGAGCACACGAAAAAATCACTGATCATTAAGGAAATGCAAATTAATACCACAGTGAGATAATGCTATCTACCCATTAGAATGACCAAAATTAAAAACACTGGACAGTATCAAATACTGCTGGGAATGCGAAGCAAATAGAATTCCTATCTACCATGGATAGGAAGGTAAAAATGGTACATTCCTTTAAAAAACAGTTTGGCAATTTATTTAAAAGTTGTACATGTGTCTACCATATGACACAGTCATTTCACATCTATCTATTTACCCAAGAGATCTGAAAACATAAGACTTCACAAAGACTTGTTCATGAATATTCATAGCAGCTTTGTTTATAATAGTCAAAACTAGATGCAACCCAAAGGTTTATCCTTATGTGAATGTATAAAATCAAGCTGTAGCCAGGTGCAATGGCTCATGTCTGTAATCCCAGCACTCTGTAGGCCAAGGTGAGTGGATCACTTGAGGTCAGGAGTTTGAGACCAGCCTGGGCAACATGGTGAAACTCCATCTCTACTGAAAATACAAAAACTAGTTGGGTGTGGTGGCATGTGCCTGTAATCTCAGCTACTCAGGAGGCTGAGGCATGAGAATCGCTTGGACCTGGGAGGCTTGAACCCGGGAGGCGGAGGTTGCAGTGAACTGAGATCACACCACTGCACTTCAGCCTGGATGATGGAGTAAGACTCTGTCTCAAAAAACAAAAAACAAAAAACAAAAAACAACACCCCAAAACAAAAATAAGTTGTAGATTCCTATAATCAGCAACAAAAATGAATAAGCTATTGATACACACAGTAATATGGATGAACCTCAAAATAAGTATGCTGAATGAAAGAATTTAAGCAAAACAAAAAGTACATACTGCACAATTCCATCTAAAATGGCTAGGAAATGCAAGCTTCTCCATAGGGACAGAAAGCAGATCAGTGGTTACTGGGGACAGGAGGTAGGATAGGGAGGGATCCATCACAAAAAGGCATGAACAAACTTTTAGGAATGATGGATATGCTCACTATGGTGATAATGGCGATGGTTTCAGGGATGTACGCATATATATTCAAAACTGTGCAAGCACACTTTACATATGGACAGTTTGTACAATATCAATTATACTCTGCAACACTGTTAAAAACAACAAAATGGCAGAGTTTTCATATTATAAAAAACAAAATTAATGATGAGAAACTTATCATCATATAAATTTATAGAGTTATGAAAATAAAACTTTCTGCAAACTGATAAACTAAAATCCTTTAAGGGCAATGACTCGAAATGACTAAAATCTTTCCATCACATTCAGAGGGAGGAAAACAAGAGGAAAGGAATATTGGCTTGAACGTGAGTTGCATTCATTCCTTACTAGAAAAGGATATGTATCTAGGCAGGTTTTAGAGGCACATTCTCAGCTGTCAAACTTGGAGGAAGCCAGTTCAGTTCACCTGTTGCGTTATGGGCTGGCATATCACACTACATGATTTAAAGGCTCCAAGAATACATCTAACTGGAACTGAGACCTACAGATGATAAATAGTTCTGGGATAAGTTCCATTTATCAAATACCAAAGGAAGTACCCACTGAAGTGTTTCAAGTCAGCCTCTGCAGAGACTTTTAAAAAATGTCCATCAGCAGTTGCCTTAAAAGAAAGAAGTGCCATGCTAATTGATAGGTTTGCCTTTGATTAATTCAATAAAACAAATGAAGTAACACAGAAGCCAAGATAATAAAAGAACAAATATCAGTCAAGCATGGGCAGGTACTCCAGGTAAAGGGGGTCACAAACTGTCCAGTACGTTTAGGTAACTTCAGGAGATTCACTGTTTTTGGAGCTAAGAGCAAGAGACACAGACTGGGGCTCTGCAGAAGATAAGAAGGGTGAAGGAGCCATGTATGTGTCTTGTCACCAGGGCCTTAACCTTTAAAAATTATTTGCATAATTTACAAATTAACTTAAGTGTAGGTGCCTATACAACTTGCTTCCCCATTTTTAGATTCTTGCCATTTTTAGATTCTTCAGAAAGCAACCAGTCTTTGTGTGCCTTTGTTGCTCTCTGAAAAAATTAAGTGGTCTCTCCTTTCAGTTTCTAATTATGCTTTTTTCTTTTTTTTTTTTTTTTTTTCCTCTTGAGATGGGATCTTACTCTGTCACCCAGGCTGGAGTGCAGTGGTGCAATCTTGGCTCACTGCAACCTCCACCTCCTGGGCTCAAGTGATCCTCCTATCGCAGCCTCCCGAGTAGGTAGGACCACACGTACATGTCACCATGCCCAGCTAATTTTTCATATTTTTGGTAGAGACGGGGTTTCGCCATGTTGCCCAGGCTGGTCTTGAACTCCTGACCTCAAGCGATCTGCCAGTCTTGGCTTCCTAAAGTGCTGGGATTACAGGCCCGAGCCACCATGCCCAGCTGGTTGGCACTTTTTAAAAAACAAAACGTGACCTTCCCAAATTATTATTATTATTATTTTGAGATGGAGTTTTGCTCTTGTTGCCCAGGCTGGAGTACAATGGTGTGATCTCAGCTCACTGAAACCTCCGCCACCCAGATTCAAGCGATTCTCCTGCCTCAGCCTCCCGAGTAGCTAGGATTACGGGCATGCACTACCACGCCTGGTTAATTTTGTATTTTTAGTAGAGATGGGGTTTCACTATGTTCCTCAGGCTGGTCTCGAACTCCTGACCTCAGGTAATCCACCTGCCTCGGCCTCCCAAAGTACTGTGATTATAAGAATGAGCCACTGTGCCCAGCCTGACCTTCCTAAATTATAAACTCACTTAAGCCTTTGCAGTGTTTGCTGACAGTTAATTAACAAAATGGGGTTCAAACCCATCAATGCAAGTCCTAGGCTCCTCTTTCTTGAAGCTTCAGCACCAGGATCTGGGGTGGCCCCTACACTTCATGACAACACACTCCTCAGTTTGCCCCCATTTCCCTGGTCTCCTTCCCTACTGTGATACAGAGATGTATTACACAGAGAAGGTCTTTCCATCATTTCAGACAGTATAGTTCTGGAAATCACCTTTGCACTGCTACTTTAAAACTCTGACTCGGAGAGGGCCCCCAAACACAAATCCTTGCCCTGATTCAGAGCCTAACGCAGCGCAAGGGAAGAGGAGCAGAGAGGCGAAGGCAAGAATCAGAACTAGGCTTGAATCCTGTCCGACCCTCACTATCTATGTAACTTTCAATGACTTATTTAGTCTCTCTTCAGTATTTTCCTCTGTAGGACGGGAATAAATACTTAACTTGCAGTACTGTGTAAGTTTAAGTGACGTATGTAAAGTCTTTAGCATAGTTCTGAGGACTCAAAGTGCAAAGCTATGGTACTCAGAGTGTTCCTCAGAAGTAAGTGCTGCCCTGGCCTGATATGGACTTAAAAAATAAGGGTTTGTTTTTGTTTTGGCACAGGCTCTTATACAGAATCACAGTCAATGGAGTCTTTGAAGGACAAACAATGGGTATATTTCCTGAGAAGAAGGCTCACATATGAGATTTGTATTAAAAGTGGTATTTGGTGAAGTAGCATGCTTCTGATCTTCTTACCTTACATTTTATGGTGGCCATGGTCATACATAAACCGAAATCACAGCTAAAATAAAACTGATCCATGGGAAGCCAGCAGTCACTCTGCATGTTAAATTGAAAAGTAATTTGGGTAATAATGTCATTATTGACTATTTAACAATGGACTGACCCCTGTATATGGCTTAACTTTGGTTGGTAAAAGATGATAATGTACCTGTGAAAATATAATTACTAAAAATCAGAAAAGATAGCTACATATCAGAAAAAAATCTACTCAATTGAGGTTCATATGAACCAAAATTCCATACTGTTAGTTCTACAACATAGGATGCCTCTTTCACATAGCCTCTCAAAGTCATTCCCTTCTCTTGTCCTCCTCAAATGAAGGCAAGGATTGGCAAGAGGTTGTGTGGAACTGAATCCCATCTTGCAGAGCCATTTGGTATGCAGGGAAGATGGAAGGAGGGGCCAGGGATCTGATATTGGGAAAAAAATGAATACTCAGCTAAGATTCATAACACGAAGGAGGCTGCTCTAACAGCAGTAACTTCGCAGTCTCAAAACAAGCAATGCGTGATAGTGATGATTCTACATTATTACATGTGTCTTCTTCTTACACTCTGTTTTCCCCTTGAAGAAGAAATGTTTCTACACTTGATCTTAGCCAAAATGTCAAGAAGCAATTGAAAAAGAAGAAATGTTTCTAAACACAAGATGCAACTTTAAGTAAACTTACATTAGGTCCACCTTATCAGTGACACAGTGTATGTTAAATTTGTCTACAGGCACCCATCACAATGCTGGACTCATTTGCTTTCTTTTGCTTTAAAAAACTTTACTGGCATTGACCATAAAGGAATGAGTGATACCAAGACCTGAGTCATGTCCTTTCTCATGTATCTACCTGTGCAACATTAGACATGATTTTTTTTTTTACCTTTCTTTAACTTTCATATTTTTAACTGTAAGAAGAATACAGTTGATTCTTGATTAATTGGGTAACTGGGAAGCAGGGGAGAAGGCCATCAATAATCATGGCTAAAACAAAGTTAGACACTGTGATTTGCTGACCAGTGGTCCCTTTGCTTGTTGAAATGAAACCTGTGTGGATAATATAAAACTATGGATTGATCCATGCTTGGGGAAAGGGGAAAAGATGACTCCAGAAGTAACAACAACAACAACAAAAAAAACCAGCAAAGAAACTCTTGGTTCTGTCTCCAGTATCTCCCACTGGGTCCCACTGAAGACTGCAGAACGTAAGCTCCACCAGAACAAGATCCTGCTTTTTACTGCCCGTTTCTGTATGTCTAGTACCTACAACAGTGGATCCATACAGGGGTACTCAAGAATGTGCTGAATGAATAGAAAGAAGATGACAGGAAGGACAGGAGGAGAGCTTTCCATGCTGTTGGCCAAATGAACCCATGGAAGAAAACAGTTGTCCAATCTATTTGCTCACCTTTGTGAATAACTGGGAATTGACAGGATGCTTTAAATCTGAAACTTCTCTTGGATTTCCCTCGAGTCTCCTGCAATCAAGAAGACATTGTTTTCTTTCTTGACTTGACCCATCTGCTACAGATACCAGGACACTGCAGTCACTGTTGCCATCTTGTGGTCATGTCTAGAAAGTTCGTCTTCCCAGTATAGTCCCCCTATCTGCACAGAGCTCTGGGAAAGGGCTATAAGAACAAACTTACAGATAAATAAATCCTTATCATTTAATTTAACTATCAAGGAATCATGACGAACACAAAGATTAATCAGTCACCAGTTCTACCATCAGGGAGCTTGTGGTCTGGTAAGGGAGGTATCCCAAAAAGATACTCATAATTTATAATTATTGATAATATAAAACAGAAGGTAGAAGATACCACAAGGTAAGTATAGATCAGGTACAGTGGGAATTCACTGAAAGAAAAGATCTTTCCAAGCTTTGGAGATGGGAATTTGGGAGGAAAGAGCTAACTGAACACTAAGATTGAGGGGAGGTAGGATGTGGACCTGCACAGGTGAGGCTGGAGAGGTGGTTAGTGCATCTCAGCCAGCGGGGGAAAAAGAAAAGTGCAGACTAGGGTAGAAACACTTATTCCTCCTGCGACTGGAGCTGATGTTAAGGAAAGCGGTGGGAAGGAAGGCTGCAGAAAGGCAAGGCTGGAGCCAACTGGAGCCTGAGAGTCGCTGCTTTAGCAAGTGTAACTGGAGATGGAAGCGCTGTGGGATGGTCACTCAGCCAGCGGTGTGGAAGCAATCTCGCCTGGTGACTGCAAGTCATGTGGACTAGCTCATGGCCTTGGGTAAATGACTTAACCTTTCTTCAGTTTCAGTTTTCTCAGCTCTAAAGTGAAACAATGAAGCCCTACAGAGTTGTTGTGAGGGATAAATGATACCGCATGTAATGTAAAGCACATAACATAGAGCGTGGCACGCCAGCAAAGGTTTTGAAGAGCAGGGTAAGGATTAGGGGGAAGATGGCATATGGCAGAGACCATGGCACCACAAGGTGTGGAGAGGGGAAAGGAGTGACCATCTGGAGAATGGACAGAGTGGAGAGAGCAGTAAACAGGTCGAAAGTACGCCACTGAGTAGCAGGGAAAGCCAGGAGGCTCTAGGGTCACAGAAGCCAAGGGAAGAGAATGTTTCAAGGAGGCAGTGCCAAGATAAGGACTAAACCCTACTTCCTCCTGGTTGAGTGACATGCAGGTTTTTGGCAATCTTGAAAAGAACTATTATACTTCGGGGGAACCAGAATGGAAGCTGCATAAGGAAAGGGAGTGCTGCATGAGGAACCTGGGGCACCCAGTCCACATCCCTCTTTGGAGAAATGCTATCAGCTGAAGGGGAAGGTAGAGAGGAGAGTGAGCTGTCACTATTTTATTTCTTTTTTTTTTTGAGTCGGAGTTTCGCTCTTGTTACCCAGGCTGGAGTGCAATGGTGCAATCTTGGCTCACCGCAACCTCCGCCTCCTGGGTTCAGGCAATTCTCCTGCCTCAGCCTCCTGAGTAGCTGCGATTACAGGCACGCACCACCATGCCCAGCTAATTTTTTGTATTTTTAGTAGAGACGGGGTTTCACCATGTTGACCAGGATGGTCTCGATCTGTTGACCTCGTGATCCACCCGCCTCGGCCTCCCAAAGCGCTGGGATTACAGGCGTGAGCCACCGCGCCTGGCCCCTTATTTCTTAAAAGATGGCAGAGATTTGTCATGTTTAAATGCTGACAGGAGGGATCAGGTGGAGAGGGAAAGGCAGAGAAAGGATGGACTTAGAGGGGATGGGATACAGGGCACAAGAAGAGATAGAGGAGGACAGGCGTGTGCAGATGCTGAACCAAAGAGCATCAAGGCACAGGAGGAGGACACAGACGGTAATTAATTTTGCTTCATAGAGTAGGTGACACATGCGCAGGTTTCAGGGATGAAGTAGGTGTTGGTCCAGTGGACTAAAGGGGTAAGAACATTCCAGCAGAGGAAACGGCACGTGCAAGGGCACGCATGGGCAATGCGGTTGACATGCTGGAGGAACGTGGGAGCCTGGCACCATGGAATATAAAGGAATGGGGGGATGTTCCCATGACAGGGCTGGAGAGTGACCGAGGAGGGGCAAAACACCACAGGTCCCGGACTCGTGCCGTCACTGCAGGCCTGCTTTACACGCACTGCTTCCAGATCACCCAGTAATGTTACTGTCCTTGGTCATCTGAAAAAGGCAAGAGGAGAGGACTCTCCCAGGGCTGGGAGAAGGCAGGTGAGATAGAGAGCAGTGGAGAAGCGGAACATTCTAGAGCACCAGCAGGCGCTAGCAGTGGCAGCAGGGAGCACATAAAGCCTGAGTAAGAGAGAAGGAGGCCCAAAAGCATACACTGTAGCAGCAGAGACAAAGTCAGCATGAGCAACGAAGGAAACAGAGGCAGAAGACGCGAGCCTGTGGTCAGCAAGGGCCATTTTAGGATTCAAATTCACAGGGGTGGGGTGTTCCAGACAATGACCCGACTTTATAAGCATTATGCAAATGTAAGGTATTTTTAGTATGCACTGTAATTTCAGAGCAACTTGATTGTGACTTTTGAATGTCCTAATACTTTAGATTCTCAATAACTGAAGGTGCCAAAAGAGGTGCCAATTTGAATCCTTTTTTTAAAAAAAGGCAAATCATTGGATAATGTGAATAACTACTCCCTTAATTTATCTGCTTTACTAATTCCAATTAGTTCAGAGTTTGGCAGGTGTGTTTTTCTCTCCACCTTAACAGAACCCATGGTATTGACATAGGGTGATCTTTCATTTATCTGGCAACGTCAATGATCCAAAACACAGGAAAAACAAACAAACAAAAAACAGAACGCAGGTTCTAAACAGTCAAAGTAGATGCTACAAATCCATACATATCAATCACTTCAGTGGGTACTATTCACCCTCATTCAGTGACAGTCTTTTAAGTAAAACCATAACAAGTTGGGTTACCTGGGATTTTTGGAATGGGGAAGATGATCAACCCCAGGTATCAAAGGGAAATGCAATGACAGCAGGTAGGTGACTGCTAAGAAGGAAAAACACAAAAGACAAACTAAGACAAAATAAACCAACAAGTGTAGAGAGAGACAAAGTTGCTGTAAGTGGCTGTGGCCCATGGTGGGGAAGGTGAAGGAAATGGGGACTCCTGTGTACCACACTGGAAGTCTTCCCTGGAGATCAAACCCGTCATACAATTGCCAAACCAAAGAAACGTGGGCACTTATCTTTTTGCCCACTCATTTTACACCTAAGCACTTAAGGAATAACCTGAGACACCCATAAAGATTCATGCCTGAGGCCATTCATTACTGCATTATTTAAAGACTGGACTGGAAACTACCTACTCACCAACAACTGGGGAAGGCTAAATAAACTGTAGTCATTCATTCTCAAGTGGTCTAGTTTTCGAGGAATACACCGAAGTAACATATAAGTACATGGAAAAAAATCTTTATACTGTTTTGGTTTTTTAAAAGATATAAAACAAAGAAGATCCCAATTCAGTTTTTTAAAGTTTTACATAGTTTTGAAGAAGAACATTCCAGAAGGAATTATTTGTGAGTATTTAATTCATTTTTTTAAATGATGGGAATGCTAATTCTACAACATAATACTATAGCTATGGTAAATAGCTATATTTACTATATTGGTAGCAATGTTATCCTGATTGCTTATGGTACTTAATTCAATATGCATTTCTTCCACATTCAATCTTTCCAACTTTCCATTTTAAGAGACTATAATGTGTTTGGAGGCAAAGAGCAGAACCTGAAGCTTACAGAGCATGTAAAGGGTGCAACAGGGATGCAATCTGCAGAACTCAGACTTGGGGGAAATGCTACAGGACAGACAGATACAAAAACAAAAGACAAAACAAAACAAACACTTCTTCAACAAATAACTTTTAAGGGAGGAAAAAAATGAATAATGCTGTGGGTCAAAAAAGACTTAAGAGACATATCAACTAACAGTAGGTATGGACCTTAATGGATTTGGATCATGGAAATCTTTAAAAACAATTAAGAGATAACTAGGCAGATTTGAACACTCACTAGATAGTAAGTGATATTAAGGAATTATTTGTTCTTTTGGAGTGTGAAAATTGTATGTAATTATACCTTTAAAAAACTGTATCGTGATTACACCTTTAAAAAGGGTCTATACTTTTTGGAAACACCAAGAAATATACAAACGATATGAAATAAGTGTATCAAAAGAGTCTGCAAGAGAGGCAATGGGTGTGGGTAGGGGATGGAGGAAACAAGACTGGGGGCGGAGGAAACAAGACTGGGGGCTGAGGTGTGGTAACTTGAAACTGGTGATGGGTATGAGGATTCGTTCTGTTGTTCTCTGTACTTCTGTATATCTTTAAGATATTCTACTGTAAAAAGTTTAAAAACAAATTCTCTAAAGGCAGCACGACACTTCACCCTATGCAGTGAATCTATACGTACGTGTACCACAAGCTCTGGGTGCATAATAAAAACTGGTTGACATTGACAAGTCAGAAAAGTCAGAAATGATTTACACAGTTTATGATGTTTACATCTTCTGCAAACTAAGGAATGCACATGATCATTTTTGCACCCTTGACCCTGCTACAAAGGCCACACACCAATCGACTGATATTCTCCTCTGTTGAGGCTAAACAGTTATTTCTAGGCATTTGAGACAGATGTACATGTAAAACAGTAGAAAATGTTTTCATTAGGTAAACTATTTTTTAGAAATAAATATTCCTGTAATCCCAGCACTTTGAGAAGCTAAGGCTGTTGGATCACTTTAGGCTAGCAGTTTGAGACCAGCCTGGCCAACATAGCAAAATCTCATCTCTACTAAAACATACAAAAAAAATGTGCTGGGTGTGGTGGTGCACGCCTGTAGTCCCAGCTACTTGGGAGTCTGAGACAGGAGAATCACTTGAACCCAAGAGGTGAAGGCTGCAGTGAGCTGAGATCGTGGCACTGTACTCCAGCATGGGTGACAGAGCACATGTCTGTCTCAAAAAAAAAAAAGAAAAAGAAAAAGAAAAAGAAATTTTGCTATTAGCAAGCAAGTATTCAGCATATGATGACTAGGTATTTTTTAACTAATAAAGGTGGAGAATAAATGAGCATAGCAAGATCAAGGAGCTGTATCAGGCCAAGGTGGTAGAAAACGGTGGCTCATAGAAGCAGTGGGTACACTACAGAGGGAGAGACTTGGGTCATGGAGCAGGAAGGTGGAGCAACCAGGAAAGCATCTGCTGGACTGGGCACTGGGTGAGAGCGAGACAGACAGGAGAGAGAGAGAGAGAGAGAGAGAGAGAGAGAGAGAGAGAGAGAGAGAGAGTGTGTATGTTTGTGATGTGTGTATGTGGTGCAGTGTGTGTGTGCAGCAGGGGGCCATCATGAAACCTTTGCCAAAGTTGCTTTGGGGGAGTGGTGAGGCAGGAGTCTGCTGGGTGTGGTTCGAGAAACACGTTAAGGCCTGTAGGGGAAAGAGAATGGAGATGGCAGAGACAAGTGAAGACTGAACCGAACCGTTCTGGTCTGGAGGATCTTGAACACCTCCACTGGCTGAAGGGAAAGAGTCAGTGGGACTAAATGTGATCCCTTAGTCAATGGGACAGGGAAACAGTGGATGAGCCTTGGGCAGAAGAACAGAGCTTCTCCGTAGCCAGGAAAAGGAGGGTTAGAATGCAAATAAGGTAGGTGGTGAGAGAAGAGGCTGCGGTGGGTGCACATCTGATAGATTCAATTTTCTCAGTGAACTTGGGGGGTAAAGTTATCTAATGACTATGAGAAATTTCTAGTTTTTTTCCTTTCTTCCTTTGAGCCTGAGCCTTGTTGTCTAGGCTGGAGCATAATGGCACAATCTCAGCTCAACACAACCTCCACCTCCTGGGTTCAAGCGATTCTTGTGCCTCAGCCTTCCAAGTAGCTGGGATTACAGGCATGTGCTGCCACAGCCAGCTAATTTTGTATTTTTTTTTAGTAGAGATGGGGTTTCTCCATGTTGGTCAGGCTGGTCTCGAACTCTTGACCTCAGATGATCCACCTGCCTTGGGCTCCCAAAGTGCTGGGATTACAGGTGTGAGCCACCACACCCAACCTCAGAGATTTCTAGTTCTATCAGAGACTATTATCATCACTATTGGCTAAAATTTCATGAAATAGAGTGAACAGGCTTGTTCAGAACAAACAGAATGCATTTGACCTTGAATGAACCAGGTGTGATGCTGAGAATTTTTTTCATGCATTATTTCATTTAATACTTGGTGACTTAAATTCTCTCTGCTCATTTTCTTCTTCTGTGAACTGGGAATCAGGACAATACCCATGTTAGGGAGCTACTACCAGGATAAAAGGCATCAGTATGTGTAGGTGCCATACAGTCGGCACAGGGCAAGCACTTCAGTCAGACAGCACTGTTATTCCAGACAAAAGAGTCACTTCCCAGCACACGGGGTCAGTTACACAATCAGCTGGCCCACCACCTGCACTCTTCACTGAAGGTAACCAGCCTCCTTGGGCCAGCAGGGGAGAACATGCAGGGGACAAGTGTCAGAGAGGCTGGGGTAGGGTGGTGGTGGAGCCATGACCCAGAGAGCCAGCATTCAGGCCTGGTGAAGGCTGCAGGTTGTGAGATAGTCGCGAGGAGGCATGAAGTTCACGGCCGGCAGCTGGAGACAGCACTGAGCAGGTTCCCTTGCTTAAGGCCACTTCAGCCCAACTCCAGGGAAGCAGGAGATCCTGAAGCTCAAGGGGCCTGGCTTCTGGTGGGACAATAGCAGACAGTGCAAGCAGGGAGGGAGCCAGTGACCAGGGAGCCCTGGGTTGGTGAGATGACAGGGCCCAAGATGGGCAACACAAGTCTCTCCTTTGAGCTGTTACAGCTCGGGGCACCTGTCGCGCAAAACCTCCCAAGTGCTTGCTGTGTGCAGGTGAGAGGTGATATCAAGATGACGGACCCAGTCCCGCGGGTGTGGCAGGACACACCTAACTGCAAGGCAAGGCAGCTTCCTGTGTGCTCACTGCTCTAACATGGGCACCACAGGGGGCTTTGGGGAGCACAGAAGCACCCTGGAACCACAGAGTTGGCTGAAAAGGTGTTGTCTAGGGAGCAGGAAAAAAGGGAATCCCAGCTGGGTACGGTAGCTCACGCCTGTAATCCCAGCACTGTGGGAGGCTGAGGCAGGTGGATCATCTGAGGTTGGGAGTTCGAGACCAGCCTGGCCAACATAGTTAAAACCTGTCTCTAGTAAAAAAAATACAAAATTAGCCGGGCCTGGTGGCGGATGCCTATAGTCCCAGCTACTCAGGAGGCTGAGACAGGAGAATCGCTTGAACCCAGGAGGTGGAGGTTGCGGTTAGCCAAGATCCTACCACTGCACTCCAGCCTGGGCAATAAGAGTGAAACGCCATCTCAAAAAAAAAAAAAAAAAAAAAAAAAAAAAAAAATAGAATTCCAAGTAGAATCCAAGTAGAAGGAGCTGGGGGAGCCAAAGGCACATAATCATAAATATACAAATGACATGAAATAACTTCACACCCGGAGGAAAATAAGCCTGAGGGAATGGGGACAGGCATGGGTAGGGATGGAAGAAACACGCCTGGCCAGGGAGGCGCTGTTGAACCTGGTGATGCACCAGGATTTACTGTGTTGGTTTAACCAAGAAGTCTTCACTCTACTGTTGTACTCTCAAGATAGCTGTGATTCACATGTATGTCAGTATCAGAGGAGGGAACCAGCTCTATGAGTGTGTGATGCCTCCCCTGCATACTTCTGGCATTTTAATTAGGGTAAAGGAAGTTGGTGTGACCTTCTGTCTGGATATGGGTGACCTGAGGAAGATAGGCAGGGTTCAGGTACTTTCAGGGCCCAAGTGCCAGTCACACACCTGGCTCTATGGGCACAACCCAACGGGGCATGAGGACACGTCACTGTTGGAACGGGGCAGCACCATGAGCATTTCTCACCACAAGTCTCGCGGATGGTGCACGTACCACAGGCATAAACATGTAGTGTGTGCACATCTCTTGACCCCGTGTGCCTCCTCTCACTGCCCTTGGTGCGCTATCCTTCACCTGGCCTGTCTCAGCTCCTCTGCAAGGGTATGGGCCTCTCTCCAGCGTGTCTGCCTCTCTTTCCCCTCCTGGCATGTGTACACACATGTGCGTCCTCCTTTATGCGTGTGTCTTTCTCCCCTCATCCCAACCAGACGCATGGGGGTGTGCATGTGTATGCACACATGTGCGGTGTCCCTTTGGAGTTGCTCTGTCTGTGGTCTTGCGTTCCCACGTGTGGTGCAGGCACCCCCTCCCTCCCCTCTGGGGCTGTGTATGTTTATGGACCTCTGGGGCCCTCCCACCCTGGCGTGTGTTTGTCTCTCCCCCTGACTCTGGGGGTGTGTGTCTCTCTCCCTCTCTGGGGGTCTTTCTCTCTCCCTGCTGCAGAGCAAGTGTCTGTGTCTCTCTCCCACCTCTGCATGCTTCTGTGTGTCTTCCCCCTTCTGAGCATGTGTGCCTCTCTCCCCCCATCCTGGTGGGACTGGTGTCCTGCTGTCATGTCTGGGGCTGTGTGTCTGCTCCCGCCGCGGGAGTGAGTATGTCACTGCTCACATCCTGCCATGAGTGTAACTCTTTCTCCCGGCCTTCCTGGAATCTGTGTTTCCCAACTCCACCTTCTAGATGTGTCACTCTCTCCCCCAATCTGGGCTTCCTCAATGTCTCTTCCTAGCTTGTCCTGGGGAGCGTGCAGTGTCTTTCCCCGCTTTGGGGTCTCCCTATAAGCAGGGGAAAGACAGAGTCAGAGTTGCTGGGGCATCTCTTTCCCCTCTCTGGGTGTGAGCTGGGTGTGTTTCTCTCTTCTTTCTCTGTGCTTGCCTTTCTCCCACTGGCTCTCTCCTGAAATATAAACATAATTTACACATACCTGCACAGACAGATACAGCCTCCCACGCCCACTGTGGTTAGGTCCATGTATGTCTCTCTCTCTTTGGGATTTTGGGTCTCCCCTGCTCTGGGTATTCTGGGGGGTGTGCATCCTCTCCCCTCATGTGTCTGTGTGTCTGTGTCTGTCTTTGGGGATTTGTAGTTGTCTCTGTAGCCCCCACAGTAACAAGGCTTGCTGCAGTGAGGGCTGGCCTGGTGGCATTCAGAGGGTCTGTCTGTACTTGTTGGGCAGGGTTCAGCCATGGAGGGAGCAGGGAACATGGAGGGTAGGGAACCGCAGAGACAAGCTGAGCCACCCTCTATCTCCCAACCTTGCTGTTCCACACTTCACAGTTAACAAGGGGCTGGGTGTCTCCAAAGAAGTGCTCCCAGGCCTCTTCTTACTGCCTTCTATGGGGCTGAATGTTGTCCCAGACACCTTCTGGAATGGATGACCCATATCACACAGCCTCTAACTGCTGCTCAGGGCTTCCTCTAGCCTCCCTTCACCACAATCAAACCTCTGGACTGCCCCTGAAAACAGAGCACTCATCTCCAGGAATTTACCATGTGCCGATTCTGAGAGAGAGAAAGCAGGGAGGAGGACAGCATGCGGTCCTTGCCCTCCAGTGCTTGGCTCTAAGAGGAAGCTGCCTACACATGCACGGTATGGAGCAGTGCTCCAGGGCCAGTGAGAAGGACGTGGCTGTGCAGGCACAGAGGGGTCACCACAGCTAAAGCAGGCAGGCTGCGGGTGCCCCAGCAACATGGCTCTCAAGGGGGCAGGGGAGGAAGGAGGTGATGGGGGCACCCAGGGTCCTGTAGCCACGTGCAAAGGGCAGTACATATGAGGATGAGGCTGGAGGTGACAGCCACCCTGCAAAGGACAACCTCATCTCTGCTCCGG